TGGCTCTGCCAACTTGTGTGGGGCGAGAAGAGATACAACCAACCCTGGGGGTGCTGGTGCCTTGAAGACATTCTCTGAGTTTATTAACAACTAATTAACATCAGCCTCTTGGAAGTATTATATAGGAAGTTTGTTGTTGTAGTGTATTTTAATTAATCAATATTTATTTATTTTAATTCATATTTATTCCGTTTTTACTGTAAACCATCGCTCAGTAGTGAGATGGGCAGTGACAAATTTGAAATATAAATACATATATAAATCAATCAATCATGGTTAGTCACTGTGTGGCTAGCATCACAAGATTTAGAGCAGGGGTGCCTGCTGGTATCCCTCCTGTAGCTCATAAAGCTCCTATCTTTGAGGGAGGAGGGAGCTGGAAGGGGGTGCTGCTGGCAGGCACTCCTGCACCCATTTTGCTCTTCAACCCCCCCCCCAAATGCTCCCTAAAAACTAGATCCCTCAAGCCAATAAATTTAGACAAGAAGCAATGGACTTGGTTGCATTTGAAAGATGTGAGGAATTTCCAGGGCTGGTCTCATTTTGGTCTGAGGAAATGAGATGCAAGCTCTTGTCTATTTTCCAGACCGATGTGGATGCCCTTCCACAACCCTTACAGTGTGTTTCATTTAAAAACCAAAATAAAAAACTGATTTTTTTTTTAAAGCTGAACATTTTATTCATTCATTCATTCCTCACATTTATAAGCCTTTCTATATAAGAAAGGTGAAAAATATATTCAAGATGAGAAAGAATGGTAGAGCTGCCACAGGAAACACAGATTTGTTGATTCCAAAACAAAATCATCTTAGATGCCAAGTGGAAATTAAAACAACACGTGTTGCTGTTTTGTGGCAACCTGTTTTCTCTGTGTGTGTGTATGGGGCAATGTCTACCTGTTTCGGATGGATCTTGAAAAGCTAAGCAGGGTCAAACATGGTTAGTACTTGGATGGGACCTGGATTCCCAGGGCTGTAGGCTACACTTGGAAGTTAAAAGACATCCTTGAAGAAGGCAGCAGTAAACCACTTCTGTATTTTTGGTAAGAAAACTCTGTTCATGGCTTCTAGCAGAAGTTACATTGCAGTCCACAAAGACTTTACCCTTTACCTTGTTTTGAACTCCATTTGAAGTTGGTTGGTGAGGTTCTCTCTACCTGTCAGCAGGTGATCAAATCAGATAAAAATTGTTTTGCCAACATCACTGAAAGGAGTCACTTGGACGTTTTCTGAATGTCCTACTTTGTAGCACCTCACTGACTTTCTCTGGGTTTGGAAACAAAGCAGGTTCAAGCCTGCTTATCCTACTTAGTAGTTGAACGGGAGACCTCCAGAAAATGCCCTGTTTGTGAACTAGACTTGGGGGCCAGTGGTGGGGAGAGGAACACCCCAGAAGGCAGCAATGAGAAATCCCTTCCATATTGTTGGGTTGTTAACTATATGGACAAGTCTATTAAGGACTTTTTCCCACACAGGAAGGGTATGTCTGTTTTGTGAGTTTAACCCCCACACTGGTATTTTTTAAAAAAGATATATTCAAATTAAAATAGTTGCAAGGACATTTAGAGACTGCATCTGTGGAGGCAAAGTCATCCTAATTGCTTGATTTTTGCTGGCTAAGTGGCTACTTGGACTTGGACACTTCCTTGCCAGCACATCACAGCATTCTGGGAAAAGGCATCTAAGTGAGGGAGTGTGCAGAGGAGCTGCCGGATCATCCATGCACTGTAGCAGGGATCACCTATCGCCTTTGAACCTATCTCCTCTGCTTATTGATGCACACTGGCACCACTGTTGTCGTCTGGCAGGACTTGTTTGAATGGATGGATAACAAACACCTGACTGGTAAACAACTGCTGAGGAAATGGTGGAGGGCAGAACTCAGCTGAGCCTGCCCTGGACTTCTAATCTAGTCTGCTTCCCTCGGGTGCAGCCGAACAAGCTGACTCATGCCAGCAGTGAAGCTGAATGCCAATCTACATGACTGAAGTCCTTTCTCTGAGACAACAAGATAGGTTGGCGTCTCCTCCAGATAGATCATTGGCATGCAACATTTCCAAGCCCTGTTCCACCACTGGCTTGATAAGTTAAGGGGGCTGCTCTAGGCCTAGCCCAAACTGAAATAATAGATTAAACAATATTTGAGCAAAACAATTTCTCAGAGATGCCTTCTCCATCAGTGCCTTCCAAGTGTGCTGGGACAATATTGATCTGATAAGTCAGCATTCTAGAAGTTGTCACAGCTGGCAAAATGGTGATGTGATCATCTAATGCAAGAGGTAGGAAAGCCCACTAACTTAGCTCTGAAAATTAAATATATGGAGGATAGCCCAGTCAATAGTTATTAGTCATAGCTATTCATATTGATTATTACATGGAAACATTAAGGTTCAGAATCACTGAATACCAGTTGTGGGGGAACAGAAGCAAAAGGGGACTATTGCTTTCATGGACCACGTGTGATCCTAGCAGGATCATCCAGCTGAATATTGTGGGTAACAGGATGCTGAATTAGATGGACCTTCAGTACGGATCCATTACATCTGTTATGTTATCAGCCCATTAAGCATCAGTCTTTCCTCAGGACAAATTCCCACAACAGAAGTGACCTAAATGTGTCAAAAACACTTAGGGAGAGAGGGAAAACGTGTGAACAGAATGCTGTGGCTATAACAATGGTGTATGGCTTAGCATGTTGTGTGAACCTAAGCCATAATAGGTTTATTCAATATATCATAAATAAGACAAACCATGGCTTGGTATGCTGTGCAAACTCAGCTTTTCTTTCTCAGGTAGAATGGAGTCAGTGGTCAGCATCCAATTTCACAACGACTAGATTTTGCTGATAACTGAATTAGGAGAACAATCACCAGGTTTGCTGTGTATCTGCAGTAACATTGAAGCAAGAGATCTTTATTTAATCTGACTATGTGCTTTCAGACCAATGAATGATTTACCTCTACCTTATCATAAGATATGGAAGAATTCTACAAAGAAATCTCAAGGATTATGAAGCCATTGTAGGACAAATACTCACTTCTTAAATTCTTGCTCACTAAACATTTCCCACAAAGTAATAAAGTAGGAGTTGTTTGATGGATATGCAAAACTCATCTGTTCTCTTATAGACTTATCTTTCTGGGTGGAGGCAGGTCCAGATAAACAATCTAAAAGGGTCTTACAAGCAGACCTGCCTTGCTGCTTTGTACATTCTTTGATTCCACAACTGACCCAAGCAGGTAGAGTCGTAATTGTTCTTCTGCTATAGCACTTTGATGCCAGAAGTGGTCAGGTTAGCCCAGGGCAAAGCAACTGGATGCTGAGTAGAACTCAGAAGACCTTTGAGACGTATTAACAAATGGAGATGTGTGAAAAGCTGCTGTTTTTGGATGCGTTATTTTTATGATATCCCATTCCATTTTTCTTCTCACCAATTATTTCCCCCCATGGGGTTCCAGGAAGGAAGGAAGGAAGGAGTCTAAAATATGTTTTCTCAGTAAAAAGTGCTTGTTTTTGCTTACAATATAATGCAGATAAAATCACTGAAGTTAGTACATGCTCCATGGTTTCTAGTTGGAGTAAGAGCTTTGCTTCTTGGAAAGGTATTGTCTTGAGTAGATCCTTGGCTTAGTTAGTGTCAAAGATTGGACTTGGTTAACTAGCCCAGTTTCTCTTGCACAATAGGGAAGGTGGTGCAAGATAAACAATTGCCTCTGCTTAGACTGTTAATCAACAGTCAACAATAATTAACTGTTACATAGCATCTTCCACTTACACAGTATTTGGAAAGGGTTTTAAGGCTGTAGTTGTACGCACACGTATCTGAGCATAAGTGCTAGCAGATGCAGGAGTAGGACTTCTGCACAAATACGTTAGTTAGATGCAGTGGGTAAAACAGGTGGACTTGGGCCAGGCCTTCCTGGGTAAGAAAAAATGGCCATCCATTCTGCCATGTTTTCCTTTCTGCTATCCAGGCAGCCTTTGGAGAGAACGGAAAGGAGGTCAAACACCACCCTCCAACCTATCTTTACGGTATTTACAAGAATACCTCTGGGCTGACATAAACTTAAAAAAAAAAAAAGATTGATGCATTCAGTGGTTTCTTTGGAAGTTCACCCCACTGCCCCCCCCCCCACAAGAAGCTGAACTAAGAAACAGCATTCTGGGGGGGGGGAAGAGAGAATGGTGGGGGAAAACGCTCTCATGCATTTTCTGGCCAGTGGATGTTTTGGGACTGATCACTCCCGCCATGGCTGCCGATATGCCAGTAGCCAAATTCTCCAGGGAAGCCATTTTGTGACTGGATCCAAATTAGGCTCATAACTTTCCAAATGTGTTGAATAACCCACAAAGTTGAATAGCCCCCAAATTTGCTATCCTGCTTGTAATGCAGCTTTTCCAAATCTGACCCCTTTTGGATATGGGGGACTACAACTCTGATCATCCCTAGCTTCCACACACAGCTGCCATGCTCTAGATGAGTTGGCCAAATCTTGCAAGCCCTACTCGTCGTTGCCCAACTTTAGGGAATAATATTATTCTCCGAGTAATAAATAAGATTACTCAATTTTCCTAATAGTTAACTACTGTGAGTTGACTGAGGAGGAGCAAGAAGATATGCAAAAATTAATGCAGTCAGTACTAGGTTGTACTGTCATTTATTGATTCTGGTTCCATTGTTTACTTAACTCCTTGCCTTGTCATCAAGAGTCAAACAGATTAAACATTAAGCAGCAATTTCGGGGGGAGAAGTTGTTAGACGAATCTAGGCTTCTATAATTGATTTTGATATCACATCTCCCAGAGTTCTCCATATTGACCACAAGATTGGGAACTCTGGGAGTTGCAGTAATGTATCTGAAAGACACCAGCTTGGAGCAACTTCTGTGGACTCCAAAGTACAAGTCAAGACTAGGTACCATCTCCCTGTTTATTTCTGTCAACTCTGTGTCTCTTGCCCCTTCTCTCCAAGCATTTAGAGAAGCACATGTAAGAGTTACTCCATGTTATTTTCAGAAAGGACAGATGCAGAGCCACTCATTAAGTTTAATGAGTAGTGTGATTCACTTGTTGATGGTAGAAGCAGGGTTATTTTCCATCTCAAAGGTTAATGTCAATGTCGAGGCCTTGGATAAATGCTCCGAAAAAGATTATCACGCTGGAAACTACAAGGGTTGATACTGGTTTGTTCCACATTTATCATTCTGAAATGTTTCCTCAAGGCTGACAGCTGTCCTAGTTCCGGTTCCTGTCCTGCCACTCTTAATGAGCTACATCCTGCTTTGGGAAGGAGATATATTAGGCTGGTACAACTTTCAAAATAAATGTTGAAGTGGGCTTGCTTTGCTGAGTCACTGATGTTGGAGTTGGAGAAGTCTTACCCCACACCTATCGTATTTCCTTTGTATGTAAAGCGCCACTCCCTTTATCCCAAAGCAAAGGGTTACACTTAAACCACACAAATAATCACGTAGTTGCCTTTACCTAGGAAGAAGAGGTCAAATTGCCTCCTGTAAATCAAATACATTTCTCAGAAACCTTATAACCAACCTTCAGCCCGTTCCTACGAGCTTTTCGTTTTTTTAAGTGCTGCTGTTCTTCCACAGTGTTTTACTTTCATGATCATGGACTCCTGAGGTGCCCTAAGTGCAGTGGCCGCTTCCTTGTCACATCTGACTTTTATTTATTTTTGAAAGAGTCTTTGAATTAAAAATGAATTGGTGGAAAACCTGGTATGCTGCAAAACTGAGAACGGGTTTCAAGTAAAAAAATGGTGGGTGCGCCGCAGCCCAGGACATTGTCTGAACATTTTTCCTTCTGCTTTAAGAAGACGAAAGGAAGGGTCCTGGGAAGTAAAAGTCAGTTTTGGGGCTTCTACATTCACCCTCTAGTGTTTTTCAAACTAGGCAATGTTAAGTTGTGTGGTCTTCAACTCCCAGAATTCCCTAGACAGTATGCATTCTGGGAGTTGAAGTCCAACATCTTAAAGTTGCCAAGTTTGAAAAACACTGCTCTGGTGTACTCCAACTGTTCCTATAGTCACTTTGTGAGAACACTGAAGACAAGTTCTTAAAAGTCAAATATGTCCACCAGCCCCAAGTGGTGAGGGAGTCCTGATACTGAAGGGAGAGACTGACATTTTAACTGTGGACAGATTCAGGGTTAAATCATTTATCATTTACTAGATGATGGGGGGCACAGCAACCCTTCCCAGCCAGATTTCTGACTCTATTCCTAAGAATACAGCTTAGTTCATGGAAAGAATATATTCCTATCACTTGGAAATTACTGACCAATAAAATATTTCTATAGCAATAAATTCCAAATGAATGAACTAACAGATTTATTGTGCTTGGAGCTTTCAGGAAATTAATTTGATAAATTGAATACTAGCTTATAAAGTCCTATATCACAATAAACCTGTTTGTCTTTGTCTTTAAGGTAGCTCAAGTGTCTTTGTCATTAAAAAGCTGTGATTTCTTAATAAGCAATAATTAATAAACACATGTATTTTAATATTTACATCTAACAAATATATTTGTAGCTCTGCAAAAACTGCAACTAACATGTATAATATATTTAAACTCCAAATGTATTTTTCTTCCTTAGGCTCATGCAAAAGTCTGGCATAATTACAACCAACATTTTCGACCCCATCAGAAAGGTTTTTTATCAATCACGTTGGGATCCCACTGGATTGAACCAAACAAAATCAATGATGAATTAGATATTAAAAAGTGTCAACTGTCATTGCAGAAAGTGCTAGGCTGGTTTGCCAAGCCAATACATGGAGATGGAGATTATCCTGAAGAGCTGAAGATCGAACTTGCATCTCTCCTACCAAATGCTACTCCAACTGAAAAAAATTTTTTTAAAGGGACCGCTGATTTCTTTGCATTTTCTTTTGGCCCAAATAATTTTATACCTCCAGGCAAGCTGGCGAAAATGGGACAAATTTTCTCACTCGACTTGAGGGGAATACTGAACTGGATTAAATTGGAATATAATAATCCTAGAATCTTGATTGCTGAAAATGGATGGTTCACCAATAAAGATGTAAAAACAGAAGATACTACGGTTATTTACTTGATGAAGAACTTTATTAATAAGGTGTTGCAAGGTTTGTAAGGAGATTGGGGGATTTGAAAGTGGTCAGTCATGTTGAAAGAGTGCCACTTAAATGAGACGGTATGGAAAATCTAACAGAGGAGTCAACTGCATGTGATGGCAAATTCATCACTATATCTAACTTTGCAGAATGTATTAAATATAGATAGTATCAACTAAGACAGTGTTCCTCAACCTTGGTAGCTTGAAGATGTGTGGACCTCAACTCCCAGAATTGAGCTATGCTGGCTGGGGAATTCTGGGAGTTGAAGTCCACACATCTTCAAGCTGCCAAGGTTGATGAACACTGAATTAAGAGGCCAATAGGTAAAATAACCAATTGAAGCATGCAAATTTCCTTCTCTCCCATTGCAGTCCTAAAGAAAATCCCTTTGGGATCCTATTGGAAGGAAATATCTGGGGTCAAGTGGTTGATGATAGATTAGGAGAGAGCCTCCCAAGCCCCTTGACCTAAATTAAAAGCTCTTGGAGGCAATTAGTCTAGATTAGCGTTCCTTAAAGTGTGGTCCAAGGACCACTGGGGGGTCCCCCAAGACCCACTCAGGGGTCTGCAAAATCAAAATTATTTGACAGATATTGAAGATATTTGCAAAAATTTAAAACAATGTCCCTCATCTCATTATTATTTTTGTTAAAAAAATATAGGGTTTTATCATGAAAAATGTTTTATTTACATTAATATCTAACGGATTTAATATTTTTTTCATGATTCAATAAATAAATATCCTACAAATGTGTCAATCTTAATTTTTAATATGGTAAATATTGATAAATGTAACCTATACCAACAAAAGCTTTTTTGGGGTCCTCCATAATTTTTAAAAGCGGGAAGGGTTCCTGAGAGCAAAAGGTTGGTGGCAAGAATAATCTATGCCTTCCTTAGCTGCTCACCAGAGGTGGAAAAAAAAATAACAAAAAAGGGAAAAGTGAAAAGGTATATGGTGGACTGGACTGATGTGATCCCACCTACCCTGTTGCTGGTCCATACAATTGTCAATCAAAAATAATTCCTTAGATTGGAATTAGATGAACAAATCAGGAAATTGCTAAGAGAAATCCTGCTTCAACCCCTCCCCCCTTACTGGTTCACGTTTGTGATGTATGTATGTCATAGTCTGGGTTTAATTCGACAATTATTTTTATTTATCTTATGCAGCTATTAAATATGATCAGATTGATGTGTTTGGTTATACGGCTTGGTCCCTCCTGGATGGATTTGAATGGCAACATGCTTTCAACAACAGACGAGGTTTGTTTTATGTAGAGTTTGATAGTAAAGAGAAGGAGCGGATTCCCAAGTCATCTGCCTTTTATTATAAGCAAGTCATTCAGGAGAATGGATTTCCTATGAAGGAATCGACCCTGACTTCCCATGGCCAGTTTCCCTGGGATTTCTCCTGGGGTGTGACAGAATCAGTTATCAAGGTAAGCAAACTAACGTAAGCATCCCAACTGTTTGGGGGGATGAAAATTAAAAACATGTTGATGCAGAGTGTTCAAAAATGTTGCAAATATTAAAGTCAGAATGCTCCTATCCCTCATGGTTACATTATCCATTATAAATCAGTCACTATATCTAATCTGCTGCTCCAAACAATAGGTTTTTAAGGCATTTGCTATGGAACTGATACACCATTAAGAGGAGAACATAAATCAGATGATCAAACTCTAAAATATAATTTGAAACACATTCCTAAAACGCACAAGCCATAATACCATTATTAGGTTGGGGCTGTAAAGATAGTGCCAAGTGAAAGTCTCAGGTATGGTTATCCCAATACTGGAGTGCCATTACAGAAAACACCCTTTCCTTATCAATTCTTCTTCTGACATAGATGTGTTCGGGAGATGGGAGAAGACACAACTGAGAAACCTGTTACCCTCCATAGGCGTAGCAAGATGAGTAATACAGAATTGTGGTTAAGCGACAGCTGGAAAAGGTTCCCCATCTCTCTTTTAAGAACATGCACTCTCTTCCAGAACAGGTTGAATACCATTCATCTATGTGGATGAACTATCCACCAGTACTTCGACCTTGCCTAGATATACTGATTTCTTATCCTTCATCCAGTATGTTGTTGTGTCCAAACATTAATTCAGGACACCCCAACCTTCACCTGCATCTGATGGAAAGAAATCCATCATGTCATTTGCAGATTAACATCCCAACTCATATTTTTATATGACCTTGCCTAGATGTATTAATTTCCTATCCTTCATCCATGACCTCCCACAATGGTTGAATCGGCATACAGACCCGCAGCTGCAGAGGTTGCCTCAGCATTGCGCTATTTGACCATGCTAGATGTCCTCCTCTTAGAGGCAATCCTGTATTTCCTTAGAGGAAAAGACTGGGATGCTGTTCAGATCATGCTACGACTACTCTTGTCAATCTCATAAATCTAGAAGAATGAATTCTAGATGTATTGGAAAGAAGATCTTGGGAGACAGGGCAAAGAGATGCCGCCTAGGGAATGGTCAGATAAGAGAGGGCATAGCCTGCAGCTAGACAATGGGTGGAGCAAGAGGCTCAGAAGGGACCCTCCCTAGTTTATCGGGCTGCAAAGGAGGTGGCAGGAGATTGATACTTTCAGACTTGCAAGATTCTGTTAATGTAGCTTTACAATAAAGTAGAATTGGTTTATTCGTGTTTCCTGTCTGATCTACTTGGTAAGGCTGACAAGAGGGAAGCCAAATATGTAAATCAATATTCTTTATTAATTCTCATTTACAGGCAGAATCCATAGCTTCCTCTCCCCAGTTCTGTGATCCCAACCTGTATCTCTGGAACATCTCTGGAGACGGTAAATTCTACCAGGTGAAGGGAGTGAAATTGAAAACCCGGCCAGCTCAGTGTACAGACTTCATCAGTATTAAAACACAACTTGAACTGCTGTCAAGAATGAAGGTCACTCATTATAGATTCGCTTTCAATTGGTCGCTGCTTCTCCCCAATGGTGATATGTTGTCCCTTAACCGGGAGGTTCTTCGATATTATCGATGTCTGATTAGCGAGATACTTAAACTCAATGTGCAGCCTGTGGTCACCTTGTACTACCCAACCTATCAGTCACTGAACCTGCCAGGTCCTTTACTTCAACATGGCGGATGGTTGAATCAATCCACTGTCCAGGCATTTAGAGCTTATGCAGAAAAGTGCTTCCAGGAATTTGGAGACCTGGTTAGATTTTGGATCACAATTAACGAGCCCAATCGATTCAGTGATATTTACAACAGCAGCAGTAATGATACCTATCAAGCAGCTCACAATTTGTTGATAGCTCATGCCATGGCTTGGCAGGTGTATGATAAACACTATCGGTCTTTCCAGCAGGGCCAGGTATCTCTGTCTCTGCATTGCGATTGGGTGGAACCCGCCAATCCTTATATTGATACCCATTTGGAAGCAGCGGACAGATTCCTCCAATTTGAAGTGGCATGGTTTTTAGATCCACTGTTGAAGACAGGGGACTATCCACCAGCCATGAGAAAGTATCTTGGTTATAAAAAAAGCAAAGGCCTTTCCAGTTCATCTTTGCCTTTTTTCACGAACGAAGAGAAGCAGCTTGTCAAAGGGGCTGCCGATTTCATTGCTGTGAATCATTTCACCACTCGATTTGTGGCCTACGAGTCAAAAAACGGGAGCCGGTATGAATTTGATCAGGACATTCAACTAATGCAAGATTTCACCTGCCTAAGTTCCCCCCTTCGCTCAGCAGTGGTGCCTTGGGGATTACGCAAAGCCCTGAACTGGATTAAAAAGCATTACGGCGATATAGATATTTATCTCACAGCTAGTGGGATAGAGGATCAGTCCAAAGACAACGATGAGCTACGTAAATACTATATTGAAAAATATGTGCAGGAAGCCTTTAAAGGTGAGTGGATGGCAAAAGAAACTCACCCCAATAATACAAAAGTGCCCCGTGCATTTGTTCAGTACACTTTAAAGAGGATTGCTTAATTGAATCTCCGTATTTCAATTTGCACCTTAGAGTTGAATGAAATTTTGGCTTGAGACAGACACACGGGAAAGGTGCACTATTTTGATTGACTGGAATAATATTGTTAGAAGGTTTTCCTGTAGCACGAGTGAGCTGGATATCCAGTTCTAGCCATAAAGACCAAAATGGGAACAGGGATCAGAAGTCTGGTAGTAGCTTTTCAGACTAAACATTTTTTATCAAAAGGCATAACCTTGATTATGCAGATGGCAGTTACATGTGAGACAAATTACAGGTACCTTATCAATTAATGATTGTAGTTTGTGGCCAAAAATCAACCTCCTCCTGATTTTTGGCCACAATAGACTAACATGGCTTCCCTCCTACAATGTCTAAAATGGGGACAAAGGATTCATTCGTACTTGTGTCATGTTTGACACAACAGCATTGTGTTTGATTGTTCCTTACACTTCAGGTCCTAAAGTAGCCTTCCTGTCCCTACTGCTCTCTGGATGTGTCAAACTATGTGTGTTGTGCTGGCTGAGCATGGGATTATAGTCTAGCACTCCTGGTGAGCCCTAAATTGAAAGAGATTGTTCCCATTATATTCAGAAATTCCAGGCCAAACACCACCCTCCCTTACTAAAAGTAGTTCACTTCTGCAGAAGTTATACATTCCTGCCCAAAACAGCCTGGTTCATCAGCTATAAAGCTGACTTCAGCAACCATGTTTTCCAAGCCAATTATTTTTCATCATGCAGCTGATTAACTTTCTAAAAAAATACCAAACTATTCCATCCAAATGGGAGAAAAATGAATTGAATTCTTCCCTTCTGCCCATTACTCGCTCATGAATTGAAGAGGCTGGGGTCTGAACTTCTGCCAAGTAGCAATACCTACCAGGGTGGGGGAAAACAGGCAAAATGGCAATTGAGGCATGTACAAAAGCGGTAAGGTTTGGACTGCAATGCCGTAACAGCCACCTTGCCTGTTCTGACCCTGCCCCGGGGATGCTGCTGCCTACGAGGATGTGCTGCTGTGAAATGACAGGCCTGTCATTAGGAGACTGTTTTCTGTCTCCTGGTGTTTAGTTCTCAATATGGCCCAAAGTTGTCCTTTTACCAAACTTTGGAATGTTAAACTTAATTGAGATGGGTGATTATTATCTCGCACTGTGGAACGTAAGTCATGCAACTTTATATACCAAAATCTACAAAACAATAATCAGAGCAATAAAATACAACAATAACCAATATATTTTCAGTAATCGTATCCTTTTTTCACCTGGACTTTGAGATACATTGTCAGAAGGCAAGACTAACAATGGAAGACATGGCATTATAGGGTTATGATGCTGACTGCTTCTTACTTTAACAAATGCAAACATAAAAATCTGAAGCGGCTGGGTGAATAAAGGTATAGTTTTCTGATTACTACACTTTGTTCCACTTAGCCTTATCCCAGGGAGTGGTTGTTCTGCTAACAGTGAACTAACAAGGTTTAATGTAACTTGGCTTTGTATCCTTATTCAGCTGTGGCTATGGAATAGGTCAGTGTCTTTTCAGTTTACTCTATCTCAAAAGACTATTGTGAAAGTCATAGATTACCTTAAGTAACTTGAAGGAAGGGTTGATTTATGAAAAGTTTATGAAATTCTGCAAAACCGCTATATTTTAACCATGAGGGATAACAAATGGTATTAAAAGGAGTGAGGTACAGCAGAACAGGGCAAGAGAATAGGGCTGGGAAAATATTAAGAGATATCACATCAGCAAATTACCCACAATCTTGTGTTGTCAAACCTTAAAAAACCTATTATATGTTTTTGAGGACTATAGTCCATCAGATGCCTAGATGCCTATAAAATACACACAACTCTTATTTGAGGAAAGGAAGGAAATGATAAAAGGAGATGTGAGAGACAGTAAGAATTACTTTTAGAGACCATAAACAAAGCAGTGGTTGTCTGAAACACAAACCCTTCTACCCTCATGAGCTTCTTAACCTACGTAGTGTGACAAGAAATCTTAATGAACATGAAGACCTACTCTAATTCATGAAAGCTTCTAGAAAAAAATGTTAGTTATTGTTAATAACAGCAATATACTTTTTTTTTTTAACTGCAGGAGTCCAGGGAGGCTGGAAATTTTTACACTTGTTTTTTCGAATACTATAGAATAGCTTTTCAGTTCATATAGAAATGAACTATTAACATGAGCTTTGTTGTCCTTTTCAGCTTATCATATTGACAAAGTCAACATCAGGGGCTACTTCGGATTTAAGCTAACAGATGAAATATCCAAACCCAAACTTGGGTTCTTCACGTCTGAATTCAAAGCGAAAGCTTCCGTCCAATTCTACAATCAACTGATCTGCAACAATGGCTTCTCCACGCAGCCTACGAGTAAATGTAGTCGAGAAAAGGAAAAGGCGTCCTGCACGCTCTGCCTACTTTTAATGCAGAAAAAGCCTCTAATATTGTTCGGATGCTGCCTTTTTGCTATGCTAATAATGCTTCTAAATATTGTTGCTTTTCATAAACAAAAGAAAAGAAAACGGCATTGGTCAAAATACTTCCAGCACATCCATGTTTCTGTTGAAACGAGACATAAGAAAGTTCTTAGCCAGATATAGATTCTTTTTCTTTCTCCATTTGTCGACAAGGATTAGAGAAATTATTGGAAACACTCCCAAGTCACTCCAATTAGTGTTCAGCGAGATACTTATGATCAGAATGCCAAATTCAGGATTCTGACACAGAACCACACATGGGTGTTTACAGGGATCCACTCTTCACTCACTTCCTTGTTCCCTGCTCTCAAATATTTCCAGCTGTTTACTACAGAGAAAATGTCCAGTCAACCAGCTTGGCTCACTTTCTTTAGCCTGATTACACAAACCAATCCAACAGATGCCATTTAAACTACTGCGATGCCTGCACATCTCCACACAAGAGCAACCTATTCTTAAAAAGTGTGCATGTTGGTTTGTTATTTTAATTAGAATTCAACCAAATGCTTTCATTGTTTATATTGGGATAACTACAGTGGGGCAAAAAAGTATTTAGTCAGCCACCAATTGTGCAAGTTCTCCCACTTAAAAAGATGAGAGAGGCCTGTAATTTTCATCATAGGTATACAGTATAAAAGACACCTGTCCACAACCTCAAACAGTCACACTCCAAACTCCACTATGGCCAAGACCAAAGAGCTGTCGAAGGACGGTATACCTATGATGAAAATTACAGGCCTCTCTCATCTTTTTAAGTGGGAGAACTTGCACAATTGGTGGCTGACTAAATACTTTTTTGCCCCACTGTATGTAGTTTGATTTGAAATGACAGGATTTAAGAATTGTGCAGTTTTAAAGAAATGTCTCCAAGTATAAAAGACACCTGTCCACAACCTCAAACAGTCACACTCCAAACTCCACTATGGCCAAGACCAAAGAGCTGTCGAAGGACGGTATACCTATGATGAAAATTACAGGCCTCTCTCATCTTTTTAAGTGGGAGAACTTGCACAATTGGTGGCTGACTAAATACTTTTTTGCCCCACTGTATGTAGTTTGATTTGAAATGACAGGATTTAAGAATTGTGCAGTTTTAAAGAAATGTCTCCAAGTATAAAAGACACCTGTCCACAACCTCAAACAGTCACACTCCAAACTCCACTATGGCCAAGACCAAAGAGCTGTCGAAGGACGGTATACCTATGATGAAAATTACAGGCCTCTCTCATCTTTTTAAGTGGGAGAACTTGCACAATTGGTGGCTGACTAAATACTTTTTTGCCCCACTGTATGTAGTTTGATTTGAAATGACAGGATTTAAGAATTGTGCAGTTTTAAAGAAATGTCTCCAAGTATAAAAGACACCTGTCCACAACCTCAAACAGTCACACTCCAAACTCCACTATGGCCAAGACCAAAGAGCTGTCGAAGGACGGTATACCTATGATGAAAATTACAGGCCTCTCTCATCTTTTTAAGTGGGAGAACTTGCACAATTGGTGGCTGACTAAATACTTTTTTGCCCCACTGTATGTAGTTTGATTTGAAATGACAGGATTTAAGAATTGTGCAGTTTTAAAGAAATGTCTCCACACTTCTCGAACAGAATTCTCCTGGGAGGTGGTGTGGTTTGTAGCTGGGACATTCATCATACTCTTTATTTCATTTTTTGCAATCCAATTAATATTCCAAGTCAAATATCTACATTTAACAGCAACTAGCTATCACCAGTGCTCACCTCCCAATTTGTCTCCAAAAAAAAAAAGAAAAGAAAAGAAAGTACATTTAGGTAAATGCAATTTTTAGTGGTGAGACTGCAGAGTTTAATTCAGTTTCCAAAATAAGAGACAAGTGAAAAAAAAATTGGAAAAAGACCTGAAATATCTCATTTCAAGTTCAGATGAAGAAGGAACAGCAAATGAATTGATTTAAAAGGTAAAGCTACACTTTAGTAAGCAACTGACATCAGACAAAGTCAAAATTAATATTGCAAGGCCCCCGTCTGGGATTCCAGCAGATAGACTTTAAGATGACAAACATAATATTAGAAATTGCTGTTATACTACTAGAAAAAAAGACCTTAGTAGGAAAAACCAAACATTCTGAGAACTCTAGTTTTGGGAAGTATTACATTTTTTTAAAAAGTGGGAATACTATCATAAATTGTGCATATTAGTCCTGAATTCGTCATAAACAAATATCCCATTTGTTAGAAGAAAATGCTCTGTAGTAGTGCATACTTATGTAGTACTAAGTAGAAGCTGTATTTTCACAAGCTGAAAAATTCACCACCCCCACTAAAAGAAGCTAATGTGCATCTTTATAGTCAAGTGATTTCATCTTAGGTGCATATTGCTAAGCTAGAAAAACTCCTGAGACATGTATAATACTTAACATGTTTAGTAATTTATTTAAATGATAAACAAATGAGCAAATGGGATGTTTATTGTGCTTTCAATATCTACCTCTGACAACTAATAGCTTTAAATGGGCTATTAGACTTTATGTTTTTGAAAATAATCAGTAATATTTGGAAACCGACCCCATTGCTCTAAAAATACTGCACTTGTTTATGACTGCAAAGCATTTTTACACTTGCAAAAGTATAAATGTGTACGTTACGGGTGTATCTTTCTCTGCTTACTGGGTAATAATGCAACCTCTGGTATACACAGCACACTCCCACGTTCACATCATCTTAGGCTGGTGAACCAAGAACAGCCCTAAGTGCTCAAACTCCATCATATTCCCCAGCTGTTCTAAAGAACAGAACCTTGTACTACGCAAGGCATATCTTACTTGCCTGATCCAAGTAACTTTTTTTAAAAACCAAGAATATGGATATCAGAGGAGTGCATATAATGCTGCAAGTGAATGGATGAAACCTTTATTTTCACTTGTCCCAGTCTGGAGTTGTGGTCATGAAGCAACAACAGAAAAGCGCTTGCTACTCCTGCAGTGTATCCAAATGAAGCAGGTACTTATCTCCGTGCTTCTTTTATGATGGAACTGGGTACGTACAGGGCCTTCCTGAGGGGCGTTCTTTTAGTCAAGGTGATGAATCTGAAGTGAGTATCTGACTGGCTGTATTTACAACTTTTACATTTGTTTTATTAATCTATGTTGTATGCTACCTTGCAAGCTTCAAATGAAGTGGAAAGGTAGGCTTTAATTTTATAAAAATGAATATGATAACCAAGTAAACTCTTAACAGTATATATATTTGTAGGCACACTGGCAAAGTTTCCTTTGAGCCAACCAATTCTACTTAACAGTATTCTATTCCTTCCAGATTTCAAATGGGCCAAAGATAATATTATTCCATTGTCCTATCATGTGAGACTACCACATAACTCCTAATGTGCATGAAAAACTTGAAAATGTTCACAGTGCAACCTAAAGATACTTATCTTACCGTGTGTGTGTGGTTATGGGCAACTAAGCAGTCCATCCTCAACATTACCAGTGACTCAAGAGTTAGAACTATTCCATGCTCAATCACAAAATACGGGATATTGCAAGATTATGGTTTTATTTTTCTCAAAACAATCTCAAACTGTTCAGTTCAAACAGGCAACTCCCAATGTGGATAGGCAAGATGTGTCATGTTCCCAGTTTCCCATTTCAGGACCTAAAACCATAAAATAGATTATATTGTTGAAGCAGATAGAATATTAAGAAAATAACATTACTTCTATTCTCTGACAATCATTTTCAAGGTAACGTGATAAGAGTCAGGGTTCATATAAGTTGGTTTTCTTTCAACCAGAGTTTACAAACTATTTTAAAACATTGTTTCAATATCTAGTTTAATGAATAAAAACAGATGTTAATCTATGCATGTGTAACACTGTTTTGCATCATTAAATTACAAATACCAGGATAGAAAACGTTCAGTTTTTTGTTTTTGCTTTTTACAGAAAATCAGTTTCACCAATATTACTGATTTCTGCCATACAAAAGCGTTCTGTTTGGCACATATAGCCAGCTCTAGATCTCACAAACAGACACACTGATAAACTACCCTCTAAGAAAGCACAGGATGCCCCAGTCAGGCTCTAAAAGTTTGTAAAAGGATCCAGCACAGCATGGAAAAAGCTGGAAATACTACGGCAAAAGCTTTCCATTTCAGCCTATCAGGTGTTCCAAAGAGGTAAAATAGGCCCCATTCATGGCAGCCTTGGAATCTGCTACGCTAATGTTACAACTGAGATGGGAGAGTGTTATCAAATTAACACACATAACACCATTATGGTTGTTTTTTTTTAAGTAAAGTTCTTAAAATTTGATCAAGATGTGATGGCAAGAGGGGGATGAAGGGAGAAGACAGACGTAAAACTAAGGCCAATTTTATGAATGAGTTGCTTACGGATGTAGATGACATACGGAAGATTACAGTGAAGCATGGCCATCCTCTACTGAAACTGTGGTGTAAAATTTTGTACACATATATACGCGTATGAAAAGCTCTTACATATATGTTTATGTTGTACTATTGCATTTTTTCTCATTTTGCTATTTTTCCCCATTGTCCTGTTTTGTTAAATAAAAGCAAACCAATCAAAATAACTTGACAGTATCAGTCTGTGACGTCAATAGGTATCAGGAGATACATACCCCTGTTGATGGGACTATTGGATATTTTAGATTTCTAGAAAAGTTTCTATTTCTAAAAGATTTTAGAAAATATTTTAAAACGAGAACTTATCCATTTCATCACCACAAAGGCTGAACAATAACCTCAGATGCAAATCACTGCTGCAAATTGTAATTTTAACTGTTTTGTGCCATGACGGGAGACTGTTTTTTATTGACATTACCTTAAACAGTAGGATATACATTAATGGCATTATAACTTTGGCAAATCTTGAAAAGCTAATCAGGACTCAACATAGTCAGTACTTGGATAGGAAAGATCATCAAGAAGCTGTAGGTCAGACCAAAAAGCTAAAAAAACACTCCAGAAGGGCAACCGCAAAGAACCATTGGCAAGAAAACTATTTAGGTATGTTTGTATGGTCACCATGAGTTGAGTTTGATTCAATGGGGCTTCGTCTTCCCCTTTTATGGTAAATATAAATGGTTCAAATGACTGTAATAATGCTTTCATCATTACCTACTTCAAACACAAGCTAAAATGAGAAATATCCTTTCTCAGCTATTAACTTTTCAGATGGGATGAAGAAGAAAATTTAAGTGCCTTCCCACCTACCTGCAAAATTTTATGAGCAATACTTCGCTACTCCAATGTATGGGATATATATGACCATTTACCAAATGGTAACTTACGAAGTTGTGCTAGTAAATCACTTGATGAGCAGAGTGTCTATTATAACACCAAGCCTTAAAAAGTTTCTTATCACTCCCCTCCATGCCAGACTGTTAATCTATCACCCAGTTTACCTAATATTCACTGCAATGGTTTACTACTACTTGGTAAACAGTTATCTCTACTTGCTAAAAATATCCTTAGAAATGGTCCAATAATATGTGGCACTTCAGAGGTTCATGGCTGAGACAAGAGTTGAAGTAAGGATTCACTGAATGGTTGAATTATTCCATTATACTGGTACAAATGTCCCTGCTCTTCTGATTATCAAAACTCAGTCCTGGATACAGCATAGTGTTCATGGATTTATGTAAAAAAGAATGTCACCAACCTATTTAACAAGTTTTATTCATCTGCTTGTTGTACTGTTCCCTTCTCAGAGACATAGATACCATCCAAGAATTTTCTGATATCTTTATTCTTGACAGTTGTGGCCTGCTGGATCAAGGCAGCTATAAAGAAAACCAGATGGTTCTATTTAGCTTGGTCTAACAAAACAGTTACATCCTCCAGAATTTAAGCAACTGATTTAACAAGAGCTAGGGCTAAAATCAAATCAAATTGGGTAGCGAAGCCAAACTCGGTCCCATTTGTAGCAAGATAACAATGGGAAAAAGCACGGAGGAAAACATTTGCAAACCTTGCTAAGAATGCTAATCGCAATGCAACAAATAATGTCCCTGATCTTCGTATCTATTTAAACAAACTGTTTTCAAATGTTTTGCATGACATGATACAAATTTAGCAACAGGATAAAATGTATTACATAATATAAAGCTCAACTGACATACCAGAGTTAGATACCAATTCAATGTCATTTCCTTCAAGGATCAGTTCATCCTTTTGAGCTTGAGACACTGCACAATTAACACCTAAAGCAGGAAAAAAGAACACTTCAGAAAAGATAACTGAAAAAGAAATGAAAATGTATTCAAATACATACATACATATATACATACATACCTCTCTTAAGAAAAAATAAATATATTATTAGTGCACCCACCATATTTTGCCTTTCAAAGGTAAGAATTCTTTTCCCCTTAAGGAAGCTTGCTAGCAAATCAAGAATAATCATTACAAAAATGTCATCCTCTATAACAAGCATACATTACAGCAATGACATATGGTACAGCTGCTTCTTTTTGTATTTGGTGGTAATTCAAAATGCTCTAAGTGCTCCATAATACACGACAAACCTCCAGGACTATGAATACCATCTTGGCAATTCTGTAGTTGCGTCAAGAAAAAAAATTCTTTGGCTGACATACAGTACTATATACTATAAAACTTGACTTTTTGTAAAAGTAGCAAAATCAGCATACAGCAACTTTTCAGAGTGATCCATCTAAAGCAGTGTTTTTCAAACCTGGCAAACTCACATCGAGGTAACTAATCTCAGTGTTAACAAACTCCTTACCTGGCCTCATGCGTACTCGTCGGATATATTTCTCCCCAAGGAAGTTACGGATCTCCACCAGTGAGCCATTTTCCTGTATAACCACGTTGATGGGGAAGTGAGCATACACAGACCTCATCTTGTAACGAAAGCCCTGAAATTACACACATAGATCAAACCAAAGAAACAAACGTCGTATCGTTGACAGTTCTGAAAATTACACTAGTTCATCCAAAATGAGCAGCTACAAAGCTGAATTTAGCTATGTAAATATATTTTGTATTTTAAGTTCAGTTTTAAGAAACTTACCAATGTAACCCCCTTGATCATGTTTTGCACATGACTGCAAATTGTGCGAACAGTTGCCAGCTCCTTTCTGTTACCCCACCATTTGTCAACACGCAGCTAAAAAGTTTAAAGCACAGAAAAATTATTCATTTCCAGTACATAACTAGAGTCAAAGTTTTTTTGAAAAAATTTACAAGTCTGGAACATTTCATTACATTGAGAGTCTTCTACACCTGCACCTATTTATATACAGGTAGTCCTCGCTTAATGACCATTCATTCAGCGACTGTTTGAAATTACACTGGTGCTGAAAAAATGGACTTATGACCTGTACCCAAAGTTACAGCTGTTGCAGTGCCCCCACGGTCACATGATCAAAATTCGGGCACTTGGCAACCAGGGCTGGGGCTGAAATAGAGCCCCGGGGCTTTCAGCAGTCTCAGCCAGCTGCCAATGCTCCCCAGGCCTCTACTTCAGCCCCAGCGCTGCTGCCGCCACTGAGAAATGCTGCCTCAAGCCCCACACCTTGGCCAACCACCCCAGCACCATTGTGCAAAATCCCAGTTGCCCCTGATGCCCTGTGCTCCACAGGCTCTGCCGCGCCCAGCTGACCTTTGCCGTCTTCCTCCCACTGCTGACGAGGAAGCCCAGCTTGACCCTACTGTACGCGAGGCAGTTGCTGGCCACACCAGGCCTTCTTCCCAAGGCCGCTTGCGCCATTCTACAAGACACTCGCATCATTCCCTCTCCAAATCGCACACCCCATTCTCACGATCCTTCAGAAACCTTCTGGTCTTCCCCAGGTCTCGCAAGAACGGGACGCTATCTGGAGAATGGCAGGAACCCAGCTCTTGTGATGATTCAGAAGACCTCATTCTCCAAATCATGTGCCCCATTCCTTCCCCAAATATTGCACCCGCTCTTGCCCCAGCACTGGGGCTGCTGCTGAGTGTTGCTGTGCAGGGCGGCCAGAAGGACATAGATGGGGGGAATAGGCAGGTGGGGGAGTTGCAGCACCCCTGCAGTTGTAAGCACGGCTGGTCTGGTCTGGGGCAGCAGAGGCTTCCAGGGGCAGCTGTGGCTTTGCGCCACACTGCCGTACCTCCAATTCGCGTGCAGCTTGTGCTAGGTCTCCCAGGGCCTCCCCCACCCCGTGGCACCCCTGCACTCCTTACGTGGGACTCCCTCCGCTTAACACCCCACAATTCTCGGTTAACAACAGCAACCAGGAGTGCTGGGATTGTGGTCACTAAGCGAAGTCATGTGACATCTTGCTTTACGACCTCATCGGTTAGCAACGTAAATTCTGGTCCTAATTGTGGTTGTTAAACGAGGGCTACCTGTATTTCTAATGAACCAAAGATATTATTACATTAAGCTATATTATTATTAGTTTACAGACAGCATACACTAGAAATCAGAAGTGACTCAATGGTGCCTAACAAACTATTCTTAGATTTATACTATATCTTCATTCCCATTTCAACCAAATATTGTCTCCCAGGGTTCTTTCCACTACAGTAAAGGAAAAACCAGGGGTGGATTATGCCCTCAACTTACAAAGAAGGATAAAATGCACAGTGTGGAGGTGAAATGGACAGAGAACTCCTAAAACGTAAACCTTTGTTGGTGGCTGAACTCTGAGAAACGGCAACTGACGAAGTTCTCTTTTTCCTTCCAATTGGCAAACTAGGCCAGAGTGGTTCCCTACACATCCATATTCCCAGCAAGCCACAGAGCAGTACATTCCTACACTGAGAGTCACCTTGCTCCGTACCACTGAATACATGTTAGTTAACTACAAGATTTCCACAGTTGCAGACCAGCTTCCATGCCCTAATCATACAAAACACTATCATTTCAGTAAACCAGAGACTGCTTCACAAAATACAACGCATCTTTATCCAAACCGTGCACGGGAACAAGAGCAATACTGTATAGCCAGTAAATAGATGTACAACGTGTACGTATGTCCAACCGGCTGTCTGACAGGAGCAATTTCCGAAACCACATTGACTTGTCAAGCTACTGCAATCATAGCAATTGCTTCCAATAGTTTGCCAATATCATCTTTACATACTCAGTTCACATATTGCAATATCACAGGCATAATAAGAAGGAATGTTCAGGAATCATCCAATCGTATGCTAAGATAGATCATTCATATGTCAATTTCATATGCACCGCAAGTCCACTGAGCATGTCAGACTTCACTAGATTGTGTTTGGAGCTTTTTCCACTTCATGTTTTGGTGTTCAACCCTATAACCCTAAACGTGATTGAAATTCGAGCTATCATGGGTTAAATAAACAGCATGAAGGAAAAGAATGAAGGCCAGTATCTTCAAAAATCTTATTAGAATAGATGTATAATACAAACACATTCTGTAAAACAATTTGTGCACACAGTCAAGAACAAAGTCTATGAAAAAGACTGAAGCATTAAGTAAAAAATAAATAAATAGCAAGCATGAAAATACTTGGTTTGAGACACAAGAAAATCTCTCTCAGGGCTCCAGAATTATAACACTGCAATGATTCACATGGATGTTAAACATTGCAGCTAACCAGTAAGAAATTTATTTCCAACAGAACAATTCTTTTAAGTTCCACTCCTGCACCTTATTGCAATACAGGTAGTCCTCACTTAACAACCATTTGTGTAGTGATCATTTGAAGTTACAATAGTGCTGAACAAAGGAACTTACAACTGGTCCTTGCACTTACAACTGCCATAGCATCCCCGCAATCATACGATTGTGATCTGGGTGCTTGGCAACCAGCTTGCACTTATGACAAATGCAGCATCCTGGGGTCATGTAATCACCATTTGTGACCTTCCCAGCCAGCTTCCGACAAGCAAAATCAATGGGGAACTGTGTGATTTGCTTAATGGCCATGTGATTCGCTTAACAGCAACAGCAACAGTGATTCGCTTAATGAATGCTGCAAAAAAAAAGTCACAAAATCGGGCATGACTCGCTTAACAACCGCCCCACTTAACAATGAATTTTCTGATCCCTATTGTGGTGGTTAAGTGAGGACTACCTGTACTGAGCCATTTTACACCTTTTGGCACCTATATCTGAAAACTCCTTTCTACCATGTCTTATTTTTACTGATTTATAGGGATACAAACTACATCAAAAACATTCCCTGAACTTTGTTGCCTAAGACAGACTGCAGATCCCTTAATCAACTGACGCTTATTAACAGCTAAGAAGAAAAAAGTTACTCAGAAGCCTTTATAGTGCTTCAGAAGAAAGTATCATATGTAGCCCACAAACAGCAGGTCTATATTTGCTCCAAACAGTTTCAAAGAAATGGAGTGATGGGATAATTTGTAGCAGGTTGTGTTGAATCTCTCTGACATTTTTGCCCACTGCCTTCCAGGCAGAGGGTAAGGGCTTTTAACTCATCACAGGGTTGAGTTGCACGCAGAAAGCCCCAGGTTAAATCTGGGCAGACAGAAAACAGTATCAAAGCTTCCTTCAAATCAGGATGATTCCAAGTGACTTAGTTCTTGGTGCTCTCCCATCCGAGCCCTTATCTGGTCTAACCTTACTTAACTTTTTGAGAACAACCGAAATAGCCCTACTGGAAATGCTGGTAGTAGGCACAGACCATACTGAACCATTTAGATAAACATAAGACAGTTACCTATATTTAGCACTTTTGCAAAGAAAAACTGGAGATAGGAAAATCAAGCTTCTTCTCATCCACTAATTTTCCGCTAAAAGTTGTTCTATTTTACAACTGTTAAACAGATTCAAGTCCAGAAATCTGAGTCAACATTCAAATGTCAAATTCTAGCCATACAGCCTCAATAAACTGTGAATTACATGAGATGTGACAGGGAATCTGGAACCCTGACACAGGACTGATACGTTTCACACCAGCAAAAGCAGGTGGACAAGCATTAATATTCAAGACCTTCTCACCTTCTTGCGTTTTTTCCCCAAGAGGGAAAGCTCCACGTTGATGTGGTTGAAGTCCCTTCTCAGAGTTCCTCTGGGACCTTTGACAGTAACTGTCCGCCCCTTCAGAATAACGTTGACTGGAGGGAAAAAATTTAGCTTCAGTAAAACATCCAGACAATAGGCTATATACATTTTTTTTTAAGTCTTTGTTTTAGGAGAATCACTAGCTATACCCTTACCTTTCTCAGGGATGTCAACTGTCTGGTTACTAAGAATGGTCTTCATTTTAAATCTAATAGAAAAAGCAGAAGTTACGAGATATAATTTTTTTAAAAAACAAAACTTCAACAGAATTTAAAGCATGGCACTTTGCAAAGAGTTTTTGAAAAATGAATTTTAAAGCTGAATTGCACTGTTGCACAGCAGATCACTAACACCTTTTATTTCGGCACCATTTTTATACGATTGTCCTATCATCCACCCTTTTCTTGACCACCGATTCCAAAGATCTACAACTTTTAAGTCCTCAAATTGTTTAACCCACTTGTGTTTCCCTGTATTTTCCTCTTATTAAAAGAAAGAGTTATAATACTGAACTGTTTGGAAAGTTGTTTTAATAAAATAGGGTTTCTATGCACATCCCTGTAAACATACCATATTTCAATTGTAGTTTGAAGCTGGCCTAATAATGCATGTACAGTATATATATGCTGAAGTTCTTTAATTTTGTATGGTAGTAACTGTAATTTCTTGATTGGATGAAACAGCTGTGATTAAAGGCAGTGGAGAGGGGGGGAAATTTTTGCACACTGTGGCCCAGTAAGATGACAGAGAGTCATTTCAATGCTGCCATTCATTACTCTAAATATTTCTAATGCACACACCTATTACCAGCTCTGGGAATCCTTTAAAAAGTTCTAGCGCAGACCCCATTGCAGCCTTCCCCAAACAAGGGAGGATGTTCGGATTTGAAAACTCCCAGCCAGGAGTTGCACCCCAATCCATCTCGACTTTCCTCCATGAATCCAAAGCGGTTTACACCTTATTTACCAGAGTTACATCCTTTTTTCCCCCCCCCCAGGAACTCGAGGGGCTTCGTTTTACGTTCCCCCAGTCTCAGTCCACCTTCGCTATGAAGCCGCGCTCGCTCTCAGTCGAGCCAAGCTTCCCTACTTACTGTTTGGGCCTATGCAAAAGCAGCATAGGAGGGCCGGCGTTATTCGCCTGGGTTTACAAACAGAGCAACGTTTTCCCCGGGCACAATAAGGCGGGGGACATCCGAGCAGTCAGAGACGGGGACAGCGGGCCAGTAGGGATACCCGGGCCCGTTCAGCGGGTCGCGCAAGCGCAGACTACAATGGAGCGCGCCTCCTCTCAGCCAGCGGGCGCGCGAACGCAGGGGGGACAATTCCTGGGGGCCTCTCCCCGAAACCGCGCCGGCCCCAGCCCTGAAAGCATCCCCACTCCTGGCACAGGGCCCTGCGCGGGCTTGGCCCGGAGCGCCCGGGACACCCGGCGGGACCAGCTCCGCAGATGGAACCGGATTCTTCCGCCTGACGTGAAAAGCAAAACCGGCCCTCACCTTCGCGTTGACAGAAACGAGGAAAAGAATTGCGTCTTGCGTCATCGCGCTTTTATAAGGCTCCTCACGCTTCTGACGACGTCACCGCGGCCGGGGTCAAGTCCCGAGCGAAGGCGCGGCCAATCGATCGCCGCGCAAATCGCCAGCCGAAAAGGGCAGGTAGTTGGACGCCGAGGCCCTCCATTGAGGGACTTCGGCCCGAGGAGGCGTTCGGTCGCGGCGGCCTCCGGCGGGAAGACGACGCGGGCTCGGCCGGGCCGGGATGGGACCGACCATGCCGCTGCTCGGTCGCGGAGTCCCCTGCGGGATTGTCGCCGCCGCCGCCCTCGCCCCGAGGAGCCTGGCGAGGCTGGGAGCGGAAGGCAAACCGGTGAGAGGTCGCTGCAGAGGACGAGAAAGGCGTCGCTTGGCAGGGACTCCCCTGTTGGCCTCCTTTCCCTCCCCGGCACCCAAGGCTGTATTCGCCGCTATTCCACGATTAACGTGGGCCGCACAACACCCCTGTGAGGTAGGATGGGCCCAGAGGGAGAGCCCCCGCATAGCGGAGCAGTGATTCCTTGACCGCCCTTTCCGGAGGTCCGGCGGCGATTAGACGGCCTTGGCCGATGCGAACAACTTAATAGGATCTGGTCTAGTCAAAGCATGGATGGGGCACCACCAGGAGATCCCAGGGCAGGAAAGTCCTAAAAGGCATTGGCGAACTTAACACGTTGGCAATGAGGCGGGTTCGTGGAGGCATCGGGAGACTTAATATTGATGGCTGTGTCATCTTTAACGATGGGTCCTAGGAAGGGGTTGTGAAAGAGGCTTGTGTGCTGCTTCAGCCCTACTCCTGCGCTGCGTAACACGGATGGGCGGCTGGCCTGATCCAGCAGAGCTCCTCTTAAACCGGGGCTGGGTTGATGCTGCACCTAAGCCGAAAAGCGAGTGGCTTATTTATGGCTTAGTGTGTTGTATCAACCCTGGAGGTGTGCTTATTTAAACCATGGCTAGCATGCTCTGTCAACATAGCCTGTATCTGTAAAAGAAAAAAAAGAGGCTGGGTGCCCTTTGTTTATTCCTTCCCCCTTAACCTGTGGCTTCCCCGAAAAGCTAACATGAAATAAACCAGAGAAGGCAAGCAAAGTGTTTGCTGATAAAAAGGAATAGGCTTCTCTTGCTTCCCCATAGCCTGAGTGGCCCAGTAACCATTGCACAAGGACAAGAATAAAGGAGAGAGCAACTGATGGAAAGGCCCAAACTTCATTACTGCATGCAGCTAATTCAACAGCATGCTGCCAACCCCTTACGATAAAACCTTCCTTTCTTTTTCCACGTCTGATCTCCGGCACTTTTCGGCCACCCGCTGCTCACCTGAAAGGGAGAGTCAGGTTTCTAGCGATCACGTAGTCCCATCAAGGGGTATTGCAGAATGCAAACTCTCTAATATTTGGCTGGAGGGAAGCTCATATGGGCAGAAGCAAACAAGGAAAATGTGCTTCTGGTTCCATGTAGTTGACTTTTGAGGCTGAGCTCTTACAAAGTGTAGTAATTGTACATCAGTCAGACTTGGTTTTAATTAGAGTGACTTATAAGCCTTGTAAAATGAATATTAATGGTAAATAAATAGTACACTAGGGAGATCTTATAAATGTGCAGTAAATATCGGCTGTAGGAGAAAACTACTTTAAAACAGATAACCTTCAATTCCCTTGAAAAAAGGCAGCATGGACACGCCAAACCAGCATCCAGTAGAAGTTTGTTCCACGGATCTAAAGCCCGCTGCAGCCCTTCTGTTCTTTGATTTATTGATCACCAAATTTATACCCACATGCTCCTGGCATGCCAACCCACAGCAGATTACCACTCATTGGACTTCAAAGCATAACAACAGTTCTGCAAAACAACAGAACAAATAATGTCAATGTAAATAAAGATAAATATCTGGCCTGGCTGCTAGGAAAAGGAGAACTGCTTCTGCATAACTGAAGTGTGATTGATCCTGATTCTTTGAGTGAGGCTCTTAAAGCTGCTTTTCTTCTGAAAGCCACAGTCTTTTAAAATGCTACATCGCATTTGCAAAGCAATTCCATTTTTTCCCCTAGGTGTTTGGGAACTGTTGGCACAACCAGTTGAGAACATTAAGTTCGAATTCACTGCCAGAGGAACAGATGAGACTTTTTCAAGGTGGTCCTGATTTGAAGGAGTTTATATCTGGAGAGCTTTCTGACAAAACTAAGTGGGCAGAGTACAAAGGCAATTTAAAACGCCAAAAAGGGGAAAGGTATGGAAAAGTATTTCATGCTTGTTTGTTAGTGACCAATTCAGAAGCAGTTAGTATTTCAGGTTTTTAGCGTAATAAAATAAAATCTCCCTTATTTGAGTGGCATATTGACTATTCAACTGCACCTCATTTACTTAAAATAAAATGGAAGCTCTGTAAAAAGCATAGTATTGAAAGATATATACTTCAAAAACTGTAGAATAAAAAGACATGTTACCATCAGATTGGTGTCATGAACCTAAAGAAGCCTTAAGAAGTCTGTCACACATCTTGCATTCTACCCTGTTCTTAACTTGGTATAAAAAATACTAGTAGCAAAAAAACCCGTGGGTTTAGAAACCCACGTCAATTCTTTGTTTAGTTTGTTTGAAATTACTTGCTGAGTAATAAAAGAAGGTGAGAACGCAAACATTGGATTTACAAAATGGGATTGATGTGGAAAGACAAATAATTTCCAAAATGAGATAATTGGTGAACTAAAGCAAAGTGTTTTATTTTTAGGTTACGGCTTCCTCCCTGGCTGAAAACTGAGATCCCCATTGGAAAAAACTACAATAAACTGAAGAATACATTGCGCAGTTTAAATCTCCATACGGTATACTACCACTACCAAACCCTTTCTTGGTTTGGAAATTTTTATTTTTCTCGTCTCTTTTAGACATTTGAACAAAGAATCTACTTCATTTAAGTTATATGTTAAACGTTATCAACAGTTTTCCTTAAATTTCCAGCTTAGGTTAACTTCTTTAGCATATTTTCTTAGCTCAGTGTGATCATTTCAAGTACATTCTGTTTTGCAAAGGCCTGCAGGGTGCTGATCCTTGCCTTTCCTAGCATGAAAGGTATCCCTCTGGCAAGTAGAGGTTTTCCTAGGGCTAGGATGTGGAACTCCTCTCAGACCCATCTTTCCACGTACACTTCCCCAAATTCCTGTCTCCTCTGTCCCCCTCTTGACTCAGAATATAACCTGTGGGGAGGCTCCTATGTTATCAAGTTTTGGTAGTCCACAAATGCCAGTATCTCTTAAGTTCACTAAACAAAGATAGTTATATGATGTGACCATCCATGCCATATAGCTAAATTATTAACTTAAGCTACTCACTTAATGGAAATTATATAAGCTAGTATGTGCTTTCGGCTGCCAGCTATGTGTTTGTTTCGGTGTTGATATGTTTTTAAAATTACCGTTAGCCGCTCAGAGGTGAGCTAGCCGTATAAATTGATAATAACAACCATAACTTACAATAGCCATCCCTCACACCAGACTAGAGTTGAGATGGAGGAGAGGGAATTAGATAGGAAAAGAAAGACAGGAGAAAGAAGCCCTGTTTAGGCATTACAAAAAGGGTGAATATTCCTGCAGAAGCCACGTTCTCACAAGCCAGCAGAGATGTGTTCGGTCATTGGCCCTTGGTTGATGTGTTTGTTTTCAACTGCTTCTTCTCTTCTGATCAGGAAGCACGAGATGACCCCCCCTCCT